AAATTACACATACCCCTACATTTGGAGATTCAGATTCTAAAATCAGATTCTGTGTTTTAAGTTTCAAAAATCAGATATATAAATATATAGATACAGATTTTTTATATTCAATTAAATACTAATAAAAATATTATGAAAATTAAATTATATAAACCCACCCCAACCCTAAAATTATCAAACCCAATTTCTCGCCCTCTCTCTCCGTCTCTCAGCGCCCTCTCTCTCTCTCCACGCTGCCAGCGACTCCTCTCCACGCTGTCGACAACTTCTTCCTCCCCTCTCCTCGCCTCCCCCTCCCTCCACTTCTCCACGTTGCTGCCCTAATTCGCAGCAGTGTTGCGACGCTGCTGATGGCACCGCGACGCTACTGCGAATTAGGGCAGCGTCGCGACGCTGGCGGCATCGCTAGCCCGATAGACACTCCGAGATGGAGAGAGATCGTGAATTGATTTCTAATTGGCTATTTTCGACTCCAATCCTGCCATCCTCTCTTTACACTTGTTGATTTTTTTTAAATTTTTAACTGAAAATATATTCACAGAGTTCTTCGATCTATAGCAGCGGTCGATGTGGTTGGTCTGTGAAGTAGTGGTAGTTGAAAATAGTGGTGGTTGTGGTTGTTTTGCCAATGGCAGCGGCGGTGGTGAATCTGGTGATGGCAGTGTTGATGTGTGCGATTATGGTAAACCTGTGTACAATGGGTAATGTGGTGGGTGCTGTGGTAGTGTGGTTGTGCGTTGTGCGTATGGTGGTTGTGTTGTGCGTTGTGTGTACGGTTGTGAGAGGTGAGAGATTGGAACATCGCCGGAAATTAAGGAAGTGCTGAGGCGGTGTTGTTTGAATCTGGGTTGTGTTTCGTGATCTACTGGGATCGCATAATGGACTAATTGTGACCGCATAATTGATTAACTGTGATCTTAAAATCCAATAATTTGTGACTAAATATTAATCTGAGCCATGTGTAAAAATATTTTGTAACCTGTGCTGTGATCATTTGGAAATCACCCGTGATCCTTATAAAAAAAAGAAAAAGAAAATAACCCTTCATTATGAACAAAATTCTGAGTTGTGACTTGGTTTGTGACTTGTGACCTGTGTTGTGACCTGGGCTGTGATTTTTGAATTGGGTTGTGACCTGAGTTGTGACCTGAGCTGTGACTGGACTGTAACTTGACACCTGAGTCGTCGGA